TGTTGTCAGAAGGGACCATTCCCTGGAGAAGGATGTCATGCTTGGTAGGGCAGAGGGTCGACGAAAGAGGGGGAGGCCTTCAATGAGATGGATTGATACTGTGGCTGCGTCGATGGGCTCAAGTATAGCAGGGATTGTGGGACTGGCGCGGGATTGGGCAGTGTTTCCTTCTACTGTGCATGGGGTCGCTATGAGTCGGAAATGACTCGACGGCACTTAACATCAGGTGGAACTGGATTTTATCTTATCAGAAATCTTAGATAATTGGAGCATTTTAAACTAATTGTGATGTGAATGAATATAATTTTTCATGTTTTATAAATAAGTAGATCAAGTATTTTATTACTGAATGCAAAATGGGGTCATTTAAAAAGATTAGTAGATGAGAAAATTAGGATCTTTGGTTATTTTCACATTTGAAACAAAAGGAAATTTCACTAAAATGGAACTGAGTTAGAGATCAGGAAAGGCAAGTCTCCTCTCTCCCAAGAAAAAGGAAAACAAAATAAGTCAGACAAACACAAGCGAGGTAACTGGAGTGTGGAGAAGATGATAAAATTAAGTTCTGAAACAAATAAATAATGGCTTCCAGAAAAAACCCAAAGTCACTGCTCTCGAGTCGGTTACAACTCATAATGACCCCTCCTTGGGTTTCCGAGGGGGTATCTCTGCAGTAGATTGCCCTGTCTTCCTTCTGAGGAGAGGCTGGTGGATTTGGACTGCCAGACCTACCACATTCAAAACAGGAGTTCTTGGGTGGTACAAATGTCATGCCCAGAGGCCCCTTGGAAGGCAGGCCTGGCAGTCTGCTTCTGGAAGGTCACAGCCTTGAAAACTCTTTGGAGCAGTTCTACTGTGCATACACGAGGTCTCTCTCCAGGAGTCAAAATTGACTTAACAGCAGTGTGTTTAAAATACAAAGCTAGTTGAATGTGCATGGAAGATAATTTCTAATATTTGTTCAAAATACTACAGAGAAAATGAGGATGATTTCAAAATATTTTCTGACAAAAATGATATTTTATCAGTGAAATAATGCCAAATTTACACCTATCCCTTAATTAGGATATTCACATGCTCCTCTGACACTTTCATAAATTGACCAGTATTATCCAAGGAGATTGTTTTCTAGATTTGTATTTCTAGAATCTAGAAGTACATTATTTCTTTTTAGTATTGTCTGCTGAATGAGTTTTTACACAACCTTTGAGTTATATTAGTAATGAACTCATAATTGACATTATGCAAGTGAGAAAAAAATTACTGAAACTTTGATTGTTTTAAAAAATGACAGTTGGTCTGCTATATCAGAAATACTACAAGTGGGTAGCTTTAACAAGCAAATTTATTTTCTCTCACTTTAGGAGGCTAGAAGGCTGAATTCAGGGTGCAGGCTATAGGGGAAGACTTTCTCTGTTGATTCTGGAGGAAGGTTCTTGTCTTTTGAGTCTCTGTTCCTGGGCATTCTTCATGCGGCTTGGCTTCTCTTTTTCTTTCCATCTCTGCTTCTTTCACTTGCTTATTTAATTTCTTTATGCCTGGCAATCAACTTCCTAACAGTAGGTTTCTTTATTTTGTTTTGTTTTGTTTTTATGTCCCAAAAACACATAGACTCAAGACTCTTCCTTCCCTAATCCTGCCTCATTAACGTAACGGAGACAGCCCTTCTCTAATGGGATCATAACCACAGGCACAGAGGTTGTTGTTTGTTGTAGATGTTAGGATTTGTAAAACATGTTTTTTGGGACATAATTCAATCCCTAACAGCCACAAAGTAGCTTGTGTTGTTAATTTAAAACATCTCTATCATCAAAACATTATAATAATATTGAATAACAGTAAAAAAGGAAAAAAAAGTAATCTATATTTTCAAATATGAAATTTAAAAAATATGTGTGAAACTTATGTACCTTAGGTAATTTTTGTTATTATGTCTACAAAATTAGATAATAGGGAGATATTTTATTTGAAAGAAGTTGAGAAAATTGAATGTATAGATAAAACCATCTAGATTTTTGCCCAACAATAGAACTTGAACATTTGTATTCTCTGACAATTAATGAGCATGTCTTTTTTGGTAATGTTAAACTGGAGTAAAATTTTATTCAGAAAAATAGGTGGTTTATTAAGTGTTAGGTAATTAGATTATAGGGCAGCAGGTCATACATAGTTCATAGAGAAGGAAAGCCCAAGAGGTCAGAGTGGTTAGCATACACATGCTGCGGAGGGGTTGAGAGGAAAAGTATGCTAAAAGTCCATGAGGAAAGAAAGAAGTCTTACATAGTTGTTGAGGATGGACGACTACACTGCATTAGAGTAGTGCTACCCTAAGACTTTAGAACAGTTCTATTTATAAATCTTCTATTTGCTTTGTACTTGTCTGAAATCCTTAGAGATGTTCTTCAGCTTAATAGAAAAGTAGATGGATTGAACTTGGTTCTAGTAACAATATGAATGCTGAAATTTAGATTTTGGACAAATAATGTTACTATATTTATTACACTTGATTATTTTTCTTGTTTTATTTTGAGTAAGGTAGTTTTATATTTTTTGATGGTCAATTTATATTTTGATTTCACAAACATTCTAAAAACAGTACTGGAATGTATAGTTTTAATAACCTTTCATGGAACTTTTACAAAAGCTTTTTGTTCCTTGATTATTTTACATTAATGAAATTAATTAATGGTAGCTACGGTAGAATGCTACAGTGGAACTGGATGATCTCTACTGAGGAAAACTCCAAGCACTTGCCAGTTCATCTTACTATTCTCTTTTTCACTGCCTGCTATAATTAAGTCAAGGTTCTGACTTTTGTAAGAATACCATCTTTAAGGCACACTATATTTTCTAAAAATACAAAAAGATTGTAAAGTTAGGCCTTGAAGTCATTAGAAGGAAAGTGAGGACAGGTGTATTTACTTTCACTCCCATGTTTAATCTCTTTAACTCTCATGTTAAATCTGTCAACTGTTGAAACTAATAATAAATTATTGCACTCAAAATCAAACTTACCAGAAAAATATTTTATTTTGATGTAAGTTATACTTGAGTCTCATTTACTCTTTTATTCGATTTTAGACAACAATACTTCAAATTAATTGATGAGTGTGTATCCCAGATTGTACTGCATAGAGATGGAATGGATCCAGACTTCACGTATCGAAAAAGACTAGATTTAGATTTAAGTCAGTTTGTAGGTAAGTATTTCTCTATTTAAATGGAAGTATCTTTCTTTTTCTTACTTCATGATTTAGCTCTAGGATATTTGTTCTCAAAGTGTGACTTACTATAGGCCACTTAAAGGTGCTTGAAACTGTTTCAGGGGGTCCTAAAAGTCAAAACTATTTTCATAATAATATTAAGATATTATTTGCATTTTTACTATGATATTTGCATTGATGGTGCAAAACAATGGCAGACAAAACTGTTGATACCTTCTTACAAATCAAGGTAGTGCCACCAAACCGTAGTTTTTATCTGTATTCTTCACTCTAGTAAAACAAAACAACAAAAATGGATATTTTTTTTTACTAAAAAATGTCCTTGGTATAACCCTAAAAAATATTAATTGTATTAAATTTCATCGTTGAGTAAATGTCTTTATTCATATTCTTTGTGACACAATGAGGTATATGAATAAAGCGTTTCTGTTGCACAGCAAAGTACAGTGGAAAACTACTTGTGTAATTGATTTGAAGCTGAACTGGCAGTATTTTTCAAGGAATGCCATTTTTACTTTGAAAGAATGACTTTCACAGAAACTGGTTATTCAGACTTGAGTATTTTGTACATTTTTTTCTTAAAAATGAAACAAATTGTGTGGCCAGTGATAAAATTTAAGCTTTGAAATGAGAATTGAAAATTTGGGAAACTTGTATCTGTTACCATCAGACTGATAAATTCTCAGTACTAAATTTTTTTTTTGATGATCTCAATGGTGGTATAACATATATGATAATTTTCATATTATATAATGAAGTGTGTTAACATTTAGATGGTCTTCATGACTCAGAGGACCACTCTTTTCCAAGTTACCAGTGTGATGTTACAAATTCTTTGTGATGTAAAAACCTATTAAAAGGACAAGATTGACCAATGGATTTAACTGAGTACAAAAGTCCATTGATATAATAATGTGATTCTATATTGTAAGTAATCTTTAATAGGCTACTATTTGTCAAATATTGGTATAATATCAAAGAAGAATATCTACAATGATTTGTAAAGGCTATTAAAATATACCTTCCTTTTGTAATGGCATATCTGAGGTTGTGGTTTCTTCATATATTATCTGAGTCTAGGAAGAAGAATGGAATATGTAGAATGAGTAAGAAATGGGATGATTCTAGTGATACTGGTAAAGAGAGTTGTTTTTTTCAACAGAGTAGAAGAAGTTAGAAATCCCTGGGTAGTTAGGGGGACATGGAAATGAAGAAAATCAGTGTCTAAATATGCAATCATCTGAAATGTGATATGATTTTGCATGGTGTCAAAAAAGAAAATTTATTCCACTTGGATATTAGAAATGCTTGTTCTAGAGTAGCTAAGGGCTTTTGACAATGAGCTATTGACAAGGAAATAGAATCTTTGCACACAGATTGACTATGTAAATGGAACATAATTACATAGTTAGAACATTATTTAATGATTTTAAATGTTTAGAATAAACTTATGGACAAGATTTGGAAGACTTAATACAGAAAGGGCAGCTCTGATAGCATAGTGCCTAAGGCACTTGATTGCTAACCAGAAGGCTGGCAGTTCAAACCCACCAGCCACTCCTCGGAAGGAAGGTTGGACAATCTACTTCCATAGTGATACTGCCTCGGCAACCCAGGGAGGGGTCACTATGAGTCAGATCTGAAATGACGACACATAACAACAACAACAACAACAATAACAATACAGAAAGGAATGGCACCTAATTTACATGAACAGCTGAGAAAAGAAGAGAGGTTGGCCACTGAGTTGATTCTGAATCATAATGATCCTATAAGAGAGAGTAGAACACCCCCATAGTATTTCCAAGACTGTAAATCTTTATGGAAGCAGACAGCCTCATCTTTCTCTCACAGAGTGGCTGGTGGATTCAAACCATTAACCTTTTGTGTAGCAGCCAAATGCTTTAACTGTTGCACCACCAGAGCTCCTTAGAGGTTGAAAAGTTGGTGGGAAAGGTGTGATAATGTAGCATACAGATAACTTTATGCATGATAGTGGGAATCAAGAGATACTGTCTAATGGAGCAGGTATTAAAGATTTACATATTTATTTTGTGGTACAGAGCCAACCAATTTAGGAAGAAAAATTGTAATTAATTGTGATTAGATGGAGAGTACCTTTTTCATCTTTAATAGTAGGAAGTTAGATATAATATCTTAAATTGATAAATCAAGAAATAATAGTATAGCACTTTATTTAGACATAAGAAGATAACAGTCAGAATAATTTAATGCAGAAGGAGCCATAAGAAGTTGCATTTAGGAAGTGTGATTGACATTTTGATGCAGTAATTTGGTTACTTTTCATTGCAAGACATTAGGCTATTGTGTGAAATGTGCAAAGATCTGGAGTTAGAAAACCAAAAGGGAAGAACATGTTCAGCTTTTCTCAAGCTGAAAGAACTGAGGATAAAATTTAAGCCTCAAATTGCAATACTGAAAGAGTTCATGGGCAATATGTTGAATGATGCAAGAAATATCAAGAGAAGATGGAAGGAATACACAAAGTTACTATACCAAAAAGAATTGGTAGATGATCATCCATTTCAAGAGTTGGCATGTGATCAAGAACCAATGGTATTGAAAGAAGAAGTCAAAGCTGCACTGAAGGACTTGGTGAAGAACAAGGCTCCAGGAACTGATGGAATACCTATTGAGATGTTTCAACAAATGGATATCCCACTGGAGACACTCACTTGGTTATGCCAAGAAATTTGGAAGACAGCTACCTAGCCAGCTGACTGGAATAGATCCATATTTGTACCCATTCCTAAGAAAGGTGATCCCACAGAATGTGGAAATTATCGAATAGTATCATTAATATCACACACAAGTAAAATCTTACTGAAGATAATTAAAAAATGGTTATAGCAGTATATTGACAGAGAACTTCCAGAGGTGCAAACTGGATTCAGAAGAGGACATGGAACAAAGGATATCACTGTGGATGTTAGATGGATCTTGGCTCAAAGCAAAGAATTCCAGAAAGATGTTTACTTGTGTTTTAGTGACTGTTCAAAGGCTTTTAATTGTGTGGATCATAACAAATTGTGGATAACATTGAGAAGAGTGGGACTTCCTGAACACTTGATTGTACTCATGAGGAACCTGTGCATAGATCAGGAGGCTGACGTTTGAACAGAACAAGGGGATACTGCATGTTTTAAAATCAGGAATGGAGTGTGTCAGGGTTGTATCCTTTCACCATACTTACTCAATCTGTATGCTAAAGCATATTATCTGAGAAGCTGGACTATATGAAAAAGAATGTGGCATCAGGATTGGAGGAAGGCTCATTAACAACCTGCGACACACAGATGGCATAACTTTGCTTGCTGAAAATAAGGATGACTTGGAACACTTACTGATGAAGGTTGAAGACTACAGTCTGCACTATGGATTCCACCACAACAAAAAGAAAACAAAAATCCTCACAACTGGACCAATAAGCAGCATCATAATAAATGGAGAAAAAATTGAAGTTGTCAAAGACTTTATTTTTCTTGGTTCTGCAATCAACACCAATGGAAGCAGCAATCAGGATGTCAAAAGCATATTGCCTTGGGCAAATCTGTTGCAAAAGACCTCTTTTGAATGCTGAAGAGCAAAGATATCTCCTTGTAGACTAAGATGTGTCTAACTCAAGCCATGGTATTTTCAATCGCCTCATATGCATGTGAGTGCTGGAAAATGAATAAGGAAACCAAAGAAAAGTTGATGCTTTCGAGTTGTGGTGTTGGTGAACAATGCTGAAAGTACCATGGATTCCTAAAAGGACTAAGAAATCTGTCCTGGAGGAAGTGCAGCCAGAATGCTCCTTGGAGGTGAGAATGGCCAGACTTCGTTTCACCTACTTTGGTCATATTGTCAGAAGGAGCATTCTCTGGAGAAGGATGTCGTGCTTGGTAAAGTGTAGGGTCAATGAAAAAGGGGAAGACTCTCAACAAGGTGGTTAGACACAGTGGCTGCAGTGTTGGACTGAGGTATAGTAGGGATCATAAGGCTGTCACAGGACTGGGCACTGTTTTGTTCTATTGTACATAAGGTAACTGTCAGAGATGACTTGATGGCATCTAACAACAACAGCTATTGTGTGTGTGACATACCTTGGAGATACTGTGGTTTCAGTTTCAGACCAACACAATGAAATGAATATAACAATAAAAGCAAGTCACGTGAATTTTTTGGTTTCTCAGTACATTTATAAATTTTATTTATGTTATACTGTATTCTAGTAAGTGTGTAATATCATTTTTAAAAAGTTTGAAATATTGTGAGCCGTACTAAAATGTGACACAGATATCCAAAGTAAACACATGCTGTTGGAAAAATGTTGCCAGTTGACTTGCTTGCCACAAGGTTGCCACAAACTTTCAATTTGTAAAAAATACGGTATTTGCAAAACACAATAAAGTGAAGCACAATAAAACAAGGAATGCCTGTCTATGTTCATTTATTTGTTTTACTTTGAAAAAGGGAGAAGGAATACAATACATCAGGGAAAATCTTTCCACGTGTAACACTTAGGCATTAGAACCCAATCATGTGAATATATATCATAAGTTATTTAATTAAGTCATTATTGATGGACATTGAATTATTTCTATTTTTTTGGTAACCCAACCAATACTGTAATGCATATTCTTGTCTACAGGCAAAGTCCCAGAAATAAAACTGCTGGTGGAAGAAAATGTGCATTTTAAATTGTAGTACATATTGTCTAATATCTCATCAGCAGAGTTCTTTAATTTATATTTTCATTGTTGTGTATGCGAATCAGTTTCCCTATACCATTTCATTATTTTCTGTTTATTAGTATTGACTGATTTCCAAGCTTATGTTGGACATCATCCTTCTCCTCCTCCTTCAAAATACATTTGGATTGATGGCAGAAACCTTTGAGGATTGTGTGTTTTAACCGATTTCCCTCCTTTTGTCTAATAGAAAAAGTTTACATTTAAATTTGATTTGTCTATTCCTTTGATTTTCTGGCTGTGGTATCATACCTCAGAAAACCCTTCTCTATTCTAACATTCTAATATTATTTTCTCTATTTTATTATATTGGTGATATTATTACTACTTCTTTTCTATGATTTTTTTCTTTGTAAACTTTTGAAGTCATAATGAATTTAAGAAGTAGTGCAATAAAAAGTTGCCTGTCATTGCAATTTTAGATATTTGCATAGATCAAGCAAAACTAGAAGAATTTGAAGAGAAAGCATCAGAACTTTATAAGAAGGTAAGTAATTTCCTAAAGACTAATTTTGCAATATGATTTGGTGCACCACTGCAGACATTCTTCTGCCTCAGTCATTTTGCTTATTGTCCCCACTTTCTTCTTCACCCCTTTCAGATATTTGCATTGATAATTCATTATATTTAAAATTTCAAACTATTCACTCTCAAACCTGATCCTCCCTATGCCTCTTTCCTGATGTTTTTCTCTTCCATTGTTCTGTAGGCTACATGTTTTATATACATATGTTTATTTTTTATATACTGTTTAAGTCTATAAACAAGTTTTATATATTAATGCACATTTGTCTTTTCTTTGGGGATGGGGTTATGTTGTTTATTTCTTCCCTTAGAGGAAACCACCTTTAGGATTTTTGTTTGCTTTATTCACTACCCGTACAGCTAGACCAAATCCAGGCCAGTGTAAGAAGTTTAAAAACAAACAAACAAAGTATATGTATGTATATATAGGAGCTCTGGTGGGGTAGTGCCTAAGGCATTTGACTGCTAATCCAAAGGCTGGTGGTTCAAACCCACCAGCCACTCCTCAGAAGAAAGATCGGGCAATCTACTTCTGTAGAGATATTGCCTCAGAAACCCAAGGAGGGGTCACTACGAGTCAAATCAATCGACGGCAGTGAGTTTGGTAATTTTGGCATAGGAACTCTGGTAGCATAGTGCCTAAGGCACTTGACTGCTAACCAGAAGGTTGGCGGTTCAAACCCACTGGCCACTTCTCTGAAGGAAGGTTGGGCAATATACTTCCATAGTGATACCACCTCAGAAACCCAAGGAGGGGTTGCTATGAGTCGGGGGCAACTTGACGGCACTTAACAACAATGACAACATACACACGCA